CACAAAAACATTATACCCTGATTTCCCATTTTTAATGGGTTCAGGGTATAAAAAGCAATTTATAATTTTGACCTCGTATAATAGTAGACATTTGTTAATTCATACCCATGCCAAATTACATAAAGGATTTCATATTTTTCAAGCAAATTGCTAAAGAGCAAGAAACTAACCCTAATCCAAATAGACAATTTCTAATCAAATTAGGACTTATAATATATGTTATCAATAATAATGAAGACATATTTATATATTTATATCTATTAAGTGTTTGTCTGATAACTGTTTATATGATTAATATTATTTTTAAAATTCCATGTAGATATAAGAACCGAATTATAACAAGTCCGATACGAAATATTCCTGACTTTTTACAGCTGTCGTTGCCAACTGTTCAAAGTTTAAACAGTTGAATTTGTTTAAGCTTAAACGATATAATGCGGCCCTTCGATTGTGACGAACCAGCCAGAAAATTGTAAAATGTAACCCCATTTGATATATCGTATATAAGAATTATAAACATGTAATATATATGTATGTACATATTTTAACTAATAACCATTAGCGAGTCATAGATCGAAATATGCGAGGGCTGCTACAACGCACTCCCATTATCACTCCCATTGAAATGCTATAAAAACCATTTTGTTAATGACGTTATTTGCGATAAGTGGGTACATAAATAAGAATAGGAACGGACTACAGTAACTTCCTCAAGTAATTAGCTAAATGAAAAAAAAAAGCAAAGCAAACATATGTATATATAAAATTACTGATAAGAAAAGTTGTGGCAGCAGCAGCGGCAGCAGTACCAGAAGCAGTAGATGGAAGAAGAAACCAATCCAATGCGAAACAAAACGATCAAAGCGAACAAGTGGAAAGCGAACGACACGTTGAAATTCCACGACTTGTGTGGGGGTGGTGGGTGAGTTTGGAAGCAAGCTCTACACACATAGACACACATGCACACAAACAAGCTCATAGAACGAGATGATAAAACAGGGCAGCAAGTAAAGCACAATGCGATTGCACGGGCAAAGGCAGAATGAGAATCATTCGCAAGCCCTATACGGGCACGTATGGATACTCCATACACATACAAACAATGAGAGAGCCACTGGAATCAGCAGCTGTTGCCAAGCATGTGCGAGATTAATGAGTATTTCGTAATTATGCAAATGTGAAACGAGCACCTTACGAGCTAAATATGAGTGTGGAAGACTTGACGAAACTTGTTTAAGCTTAAGACTGTGCGTAAGCACATCTGTTGGAATTCGACCATAGGGTCTCAGAAGTCAAAATGCGGCAAGGGAAAAAGCTCAAGAGATCGCAGTTGCCCAAAAGCTTTAAGGCAATTGAAAAGATCATCAAGAGTTGGGTTTTTGATGTATGGGTTTAATTTCAATTATGCCACTTGATAAATCACACAGCTTTCACACAATTGACGATAAACTGAACAGCGAAAAGGCCAAAGCATACTTCTGATAGCGCTGCTGCTAAACTCGTTCCTTGTCTTTCTCTGTATCCATCTACTGTTAACAGAATTACGGAGTTTGAGCTTTAAAGCTTATTACACACAACTTCAACACAAACTAATGCACCGTGAATTAAGCCTACAGCAGCAAATGAAAAAAAAAAGCATGGATTAAGCTTTACTGATGATGAGCTGCACGATTGGCGAATGAGTGAAAGAGGAGTGAGAAGTAGCCAAAACAGAAAACAATAACGGAAGCTGCCAATTAAGTAGTTTTGAAAACTTTGCTGTCGTCACTAACAGCAAACTAAAAAAGCAATTCTATATACATACATAAATGTATATTGGTGAAATGAAATACTATTTACTAAAGATAAACAAAACTTGATATGCACGCAGCTGATAAGTTGTCTTATCATACTGCAGGTAAACGACAATAACGCACCTCTTTATCCTTAAGGCCAAGCAGCAGCACCTCCTCCATAAGCGTAAGACGTGTCTCCTTGGAGTCGCCATCATCGATGTTATCCTCCTGATCCTTGTTGCTGTCGTGCGCGTCCTGATTGTCGTCCGGTGTGTTCGCATTCAATCCCGCTCCACCGCCTTCGGCTCCATTCTCGCGTGGCTTGACAGCGCGCCTAACCAAGCCGTCGCTACGATTCATTATGTTTATGATTCTTTGTGGTCTCTTCTTAATTTTTATTTATTTCTATTTTTTGTATGTGTGGCACAATTGTTGACTGAGCTGCCACCTGCCTCCTCTTTGCTGCCTATTGTGTACTTCTGTCGTGTTGGTGTGCGTTTGTCTTTCTGTGTGTGTGTGTGGCTCCGTGTTATTACTTTGTGTGTTATTATTATACTGCAAGTTTCGCTGATTTTTTTTTTTTTTTTTTGGTTTTGTCACACTTTTTCCGCTTCTTGTTTTTTCTTCTTTTCGCACTAAAGAGATGCACCCATAAACTACGTCGCCTTCGTTGTTGTTTATATATTTTATTAAAACTTTATAATTTACGTTAACAATTTTTCGAATCAATCAAAGCACATACTAAGTATACAATTGCATATTTTTATATTATTTTGTATCTATTTAAATACTTGCGCATAATGAGCTTTATAATATATTTTTTGTGTCTTTTCTGTTTCTTCGACGTGACATTTTTCGTCTAGTGTTGAGCAATGCCGCGCACGATGAACTGAATCATACGCCACGGTTGTAATACTTCTTACACCAAAATTGGTGCAGCACCTCTGAATCAAAAACAAATATTAAATTTATGAAAAAAAAAAAAAGTTTGTAGGTCAACGTATACAGTTTTTCTGCTCGAAATGTATTTAACTCGCTGTGTTAACCAAAGAACAGCTGTTCTCTGGCTTTAGGTACTTAACAGCACTACAAGCGCGTTCCATTGTGAATGGCCAGTTCTACGTGAGTGTCAGAGAGCAAGGTGAGCGTGTGTATGTGCAGTGTGTGTGGAGGAATATATATATATTTTGTTTGCACTAAACATAAAATACAAAAATATATATAATTAGCTAGAAATGTCCTACCTGGCCAGTTTCAATAATGACAGTGCAAAGCAAATACTTATGGATATAATACGCACAGTGAATCAGCCGGAGAACTCTAAAAAACTATCTGAAGCAAAAGCGTCAGCGGGCAAAGAAATGATTCTTATGATGCAGCACGTCTTTCCACTGGTCATGCAGCTGCAGCTGGAGGTAATCAAAGCGCATGGCTTTCCCGGCAATCGCGAGGGTCTCGTCCAGTTCTCGCAGCTCATACGCGAAATGGAACGCGACGACATGGAAATCGCACGCCTGCGCAGCCAGATCCGAGCTATTTACTTGCCACCTATAGCTATTAACACTACCAACGATATACTCATCTGAATGGTCTATTCTCTGAGCACATTAAAGAGACTGCAATAGTATTAAGTACAACAGTGTTTTTTTAAATTGTATTTCGGGTTTGATGTACAAAGTTTGAATTTTAACGCTAAAGCTGGGCTCTGATGTGCCTCTGATATCTGGCATAATGCAATAGTCCAGTACAATTTATGTTAATTACAAAATTATTTAACCAGTTACCTCGGGTACATCTGATTTAAGCCTAAGTAACATGGCGTTTCTATTAAATAAACAAGAAATCAAGAATTATGCTGGTGCAATTTGTTCATATAGCACAATAACAGTCAAATTTCGTACGATAAATTAAGAAATTGTTTCAATACCTTAATTACTTATAGTCTAAAAAATTGTTTTGTATTGTTTCCTTTTCTTTTAGGTTTCTTTAAGTTTATATACATATCAAGTAGGGAGCTGCCTTTTTACAATGACTACCCACAATTATCATAAGGCGAGAGCTTAGCTTAGACTAATTTTGAGAGTTAAGAATAGCCAATCTGCATTAGCGAGCCACATCGCTGTGTGTGCTCTCGATGGCTTCTCCATTCCTGTTTTTAATGTCGTCTGTGGTCAGTTGAACTGGATTGATATGGCTCAGGTCATTGCCGTTCAACTTCTGCCCCAAGTGCTGCAGCTGATTGGCAAAATGTGCATCCTCCACACTGTCCACATCGTTTGTGATTGACAACGACATGGGCGACATAGGGGTGAGCGGCGTTCGGGGCGTATTTGTGGCGCACAGCTCCTCGATAGTGGAATCACTTTGAGTCGATGGTGACGTGGAGCGCGATCGCACCGGATATGCATCATCCAGTGGCAGGGCGTAGCCCTGCATTATTAACATATCGCCAATGTTCACCTCACCGCCTTCGGTGGGATCGAACAGCTCCACGCCGGGCAGTGGTGTTCCATCTCGTGTGGACGCATTGGCGGCGCTCGTCACCTTCGGACGCTCCTTGTAAGTGACCACCCGTGCGATCAGCTTGCGCCAATGGGCAACTGTTTGTCCAAATTATAACACTTATAAAAATGTTCGATTCGATGCGAAAAGGAAATGATATTTACCCTCTGTGAATTCCTCGAACTTGCTTATAGATGCCTTTTGCCAGGTGTTAGGTTCATCTACAATAGTTGATTTCACGTTAGCCAAGAAACACTCAACTGCCTGGAACCTGGAAGCATTTTAGCAGCCATTACTAGGGGATACATAACCCAAATATTTGATTTACCAACCTTAGGGTTAGGAAATCGGTGCGTAGCTCGCAAATGTCTGCTGGAGAGATATATTCACTGTCGCCGTAGTCCACAAAGTACAGATCGATGACCTGCTCATTCGGATTATACTGATTGGGCATAATGTCTACGATCTCGGCGCGATACCATTTCTCATCGAACTTAAAGACAGCGGCCACGATCTGGCCAATGTACGGCGAGGTCAGTTGGTGCTTGGCGCGATTCTCGGCATTGCTGTAGTAGGTGGTCATCTCCTTGACCATGTCGTCCAGCTTCTTTGACTGCGGGCCCACCAGCTGCACCCAGAACTTTGTGGGCGATGCAACTGCCGAGACGTACACTTCCATGGGCTTGTCATCTCCACGAGAGGCCATTAGCTTGTCTCGCGGCGGCTGGGAGCTGAGCGACGTCTGCGATGAGTACACGCTGGAGGTAAGACTGTAGCTGGGCGAACGTCGTGGTTCGCGATGCTGTTCCACCTCATCGACAGCCAGTCGCAGCTGCTCGTCCTCCTCGATTTGGTCGTCCAGCAGCTTGCGGGCGATGTTCACCTGCTTCTGGTTGCCAACAATGATGATCTTGGCCTTGCCATTGCGTCCATTTAGATCGACGCTGAGCTTAGCCAATGATGTTCGGCTAATGTCCTGTATTATCTCGCCTCCGCGTCCACTGATCCTGTTGGCCAAACGCAGTGGTACCTGCAGCTCCATCTTGACGATGGGCGCACGCTCAATCTCCTTGATGAGCATAACACGAGCCGCCTTAACCGCATCGGGCAAGCCGTTTATGTCGCAGAACTTATGGGAGTTGTCCTTATCGCTGGGAATAACAATGGTCAACATTATTTGTATTTTGCTTAATATCGATAACAAACAAAGAGAGAGAAATTGAGCTCTTTCTCTTCTCTTTATCTGCCTAAGACTTGTGTCAAATATTTACCGTAATCTTATCTTTGCCCCGCTCTTTTCCTCAATCAGCTTAATGTTGGCGCCGCCGCGTCCAATAATCAACGGTACATGGTCATTGTCCACAACGATTTTGAGACAAATTTCCTTTTGCTGTGGTTTCTGTTTCTGCATTTGTTCCTGTTCCCCCGCTGTTTGCTTGTTCGTGCCCGTTTCATCCGTGCCGTCATTGCGGGACTTGAAGTAGGCGTAGAGCATGGCACTACCCAGCGAACAGAGGCCAAAGCCTAGCAGTAATTTGTAAGTGGGCGTGCCGGCGAAAGGCGTATTGCGTAACATTCTGTCTTATTGAATGTGTTTACTGTGTGGATGATGATGTGGATGATCTTTCTTTCTTTTCGTCGTCTCGCGCCTTACCTTCGGCGCTGTAGCATGGAGGACACCGTACCGTCAAACTGAAAGTAGAGATCAAAGCAAAACTCTTTTCAAGGTCCACATTATATGCTAACGGTATGTTGCGTGATTAACTAGGCGCTATTTGCGGCTCAGGGAATCAATAAAAGAAAATAAATGAATACAAATAATCAACCGCGACAATGAGTGCCTCCCCACCGCTCGAACTTAAGCATGGGTTTGCTTAATGAAGCGCGTCATCTTCTATCCTCTACTGGTTGTTATATAATACTCTTATCACTAACAATTCAACAAGATGTTAATGAAATAATGCAAAAACAATATAAATGTTTCATAGATTTTTTGATTTTTTCTTTTTTTTTTTTGGCAGGTAGATACACAAATGACAGCACCAAAACAAATAGCCATGTGACGCTTACGTTTACACTGCGCTACAAAAGTCGCAATACATACTCACAGAACTATCACAGAATATCACTGCATTCGCAATTACAGTGATTCCCAATATTTGTACAGCATCTGTGACAAATAACAAAAGATTTTGACAGCTACTGCTTGAATAGTTTGTGGGACAACAATGTGAGAATTAGACTCGTCAAATTTGATGTGCACTCTCAATGGATCACGTAACGCATGCGGAAGAGCACATTGGAACTGAGAGCTTTCAATTCGAAGTTCGCTCAGAGCGCTTTGCACTTGTCCTTCGACGAACAAGTTCATGCACTTTATCAAACACTGGTTAAGCAGCTCACACTGCAGATTATGCTGAGCAAGCAGAATTTTTCCGAGTTCTATCTCTATTCGAGAGGCATAAGGAAAAATGCAATTAGAATATGAATATAAATATTTATATGCTGATATAGACACCAGCTGAAAGTGCGCCTTATAGATTTTTCTTGAAGCTGCTGACCTTGATATTGAGTTTTAGGTGTTGATTTTAGTTTAGTCGTTTGTTTTTATTAAGCTTTGCTTCGATATTGCATTCATATGCAAAGGAACGCTTCAGTTCAATCAAGCGTTTTATTGGATAGGTTCGGTATCGTTCGGAATCGTTTCGTTTATTTTTAATAATGAGGCAAACAACAATAAAAACTCGACCGAGCGACGAGCGCTCGCTTGTCCGGCTCGCTTTGTTCAATATAAATAACTGTTGCAATAATTTGAATTTTCCCTCAACAGACGCCGTTTTGCTCAATGGCGTCAGCTGTTTCTGTTGCTCACTCTCTTTTTCTATCTCTCACTCTCTCAATCGCACTCGCTGCTTTCTGTTGTTTTCATTGTGCATTTCGCCGGCTCACTTCATGAACAACAACAACTGGAACAACATAAACATGAATGGCATAGGGAAGCAAAGATTGAGGTATAAAAAGTTATGACATGACAAAACAGAAATAATTAAAGTATTGAGAGCGAGAGAGCGCCTTAAGCCAGAGAGCTTCAAATGCAAAGTATTTCAGCGTTGTGCGTTCAAATCTAAATTTAGTTAAATGACATAATAAGCCGTTGGTTGAGTGTTAAAGTTCTGTTTTGTCTACAATTAAAGGATGTCTCTCAAATCAATATATACGATCTAGCTGTTGAGAAAGGGGTATTTTACAAATGTTGAGCTCTTTAAAGCTCAAATTTCCATAGCATTATACGAACAATAATTGAAATAATTTTGAGGGTCACGCGCTGATAGCAGGTTGATATTATTTGGCAATGTTTCAATTTTCGCAGTTCGCATTGTTGGGACTAAAAAAAAAACAATATCAGCAACAACAAAATATCGACGTCATATTTAGACAAGGTATTTCGTATTTTAGGAACACATCAAATTCTTCTGATCTATTATTAATCTTAGTCGCTTAGGAGTATTTTTGGCAACATCCATTTACGAGCTTTATTCAACGTTTATTAGCATTTTTAATTTGCAAGCTGCACTCACGATTTTTAATTCCGAGCGAAACCAGCAAAACGTGAATTGGCTTATCTCCCGGACCACTCTAGCACATAAACAGACACCACAACCGACGGCCAACAATAAAAGCGGTGCAAGGGAATGCGTAACAAAGCGTGCGTTGATTGTAATCTCAGTCTGCCCCTTGCTTCCGAAATTCGTAGTTTGCACACACACTTGCGATTTATTTCGCTCTTTCGCCTCTTTGGGACGCACAAACTGCTGAACAATTAATTTGGTAGAACTGATAGATATGTATGGTATATGTATTTAATTCAACGAACAACGTTTATAGTCAAAATAATATAAAAAATTATATAAATTTACACAAAGTGTGATACGCGTACAAAAACGTGTAGAATAGACTTGTATCAAAATTTGACATTGATTCAAATGAATAAACTTTTGAACCGAATGAGCCGAGCGATTAACGTTCATAGATTTAGTTCATTTATCAGGCCAACTTAAATCATATGTTCTTTTAAAGACAATTTACAAATTTTCGATTTAATCACCAATATCCAGTACAAGATTTTAAAAAATTTGCAGCATAGCATATTAAAAGTAAAAATTAGATGTACAATAAAGTAAACAACATATACAATAGTTTTCTATCGACAATCGATACTTTCTATGCCAGTGCTGTAAATATGTGAAATGTTTTGAATTTGAGTCGATTTAACTGCTTTGGCGGCATCTTTTCGCAATGCATGTGTGTGCTTCTATTTTGATATATATATGTATGTATGTAGTTATAAAATGCAGTTGAGCAGCTGTAAGCTGTAGGTCATAATAAACTTAAGCTACGGGCACATGTGCCGTTGTCTAAGTACAATGAACACTTATCAGTTTAAGGCGAACCATATGGCGTGGGCGTATTTCATGTAATTGTTGTTGCAAGTCTGTGAAGAGCAGCTAGGAAATCTCGCGTAAAGCGTTAGGTTTGGTGCCATCCATGTCAAAGCAGCGACAGTTGCAGGACGACACGGGACACTCGGAATTCTGTCTGCAATCAAAAGTGAGACGGGTTACGCAATGCAATTTAAATAATAAGAATATACTTACTTAAACCATTGCACAATGTGCTCGGTGTGGCCGCCGTGGCGACACGTCTGACACCAGGAGAACCACTTGGAGAACGGTTTCATTTGCCAGCCACCCTGCAGCTCCGTTGGCGTCTTATCGCTGGCGCTCGTGTTTATCATGGTGCCCATGTGCATCAGGCAGAGTGAGCAGCGTGGCAGAGGCTTCCGGCAGCTGGGACACGAGGATAAGCGATTCGTGCTGGTGCTGGTGCTGCGGGGTCGCGGCTCATCCAGCAGCGCATTCGACACGGATTTGCCACAGAAATTGCATGACAGGTAGACGGTGCGAGCGCTTCGTGTCGATATATTCTCGATTTTAATATCCAGCTCCGCTCGCTTCTCCCACAGGCCCCAGCTGTTCAGATAGTCCAAGTAGCTGGCCACCCAGTACTGGATACGATTGTCTGCGAAATGCTCGTTGTGGAAGTAATTGATGGCCACCAGGGCTACCGTTTGCACATCAAAGCTGGCATCCATGTAGGCCTGCAGTATATTGATGCCATCCAAGGACGCGCCGGTCAGCAGCAATCCATTCAGGTCGCCGCATTCGATGCAGCGCTGAATGCGCTGCTTGATGTACTCTGTGAGCTTCGTTTCCGATAGGTATTTGCAGGCGAAGGCCACGCGATCTGCCAGAGAGATACCCTCCTCCCGAAGCACCGCATCGAAATTGTCCCCCTCCATGGTGAGGAATGAAAAGATGGCCCGCAAGTGCGGATCCTGAATTTGCATGTTCGCGCTGGAGCGCTGGTTGCGCCACGTCGAGCTGCAGCGATCCGCATTGAAGCTGGACAGCGCAATCGCCGTGATCCGATACATGCTTGGATCGCGCATCTTGTCCGCCGCCCGGGACAATATATTGCAAGCGGCCAGCACCTTCAAATGGAATACACAGATCATGGCCGCCCGACTGAACTCCTTGTTCGCATACAGCTCGTCGATGAAGCGGTCCAGCTCGTGCTCAAATGACCAGCCGCATAGCTTCAGAGCCTTATCCCGCTGCTCGCTCCTGTAACGGTGATGAACGGATGATGAAATGGTATAAGGATTAGCTGCGGTTCTGTCGCGCTTACCTATAGGAAACCAGTTTGTTTGAGTTGTTGATGCCGTCGGGCCACTGCAGCAACTGGGATTCAATGCGCGAGCTGGCCATCAGCGCCTCCGAGGTGTGGCCCAGGTTGATGCCGAGCGTGGCCTTCAGGCCCGTCAGGCGCTCCTCGCTGTGCATATTGTTGAGGGTGGCCCAAACGTTGCGCAGATACGGACTCAGATGGAGTTCAGCGAGTCGCGTGTTGTCCGGCTTAATGCCGTAGTCCAGCATCGCTCGCTGTCGCGTCTCTTCCAGCAGATTCTCTTCGAGCAGCTCGCGCTCCAGAAAATCAAAGCTCAAGGAAGAGCCGACGTTGTATTCGTTCAGCGTGCTGCCGGCACTGTTCGTGATGCAGCTGCTCGTCGCCTGCGTCGGCTGCTGGCTGTTTGTGGATGACCCAACGTTCGCGGGAGCATAGAGAGGACGCTGCATTAGCAGCGGCAGCTTGCTCCGATTACTGAATGCCGTATGCAAGCTGGCTGGCAGCCGGAATTCTAATATATTGAGGGCATCCGCCAGGAGCAGAGCTCGCTCAAAGTCGCGTGGATGCCAGGATAGCCAGTTGACTGCGGCAAACTTGCCGCTGTGCTGATACTTGGCTGGCAGGGGGCTGATCTGGCGCTTCACATGGTAGACGTCGCGGCAGGACTCGTTGTCCACGCTGCGAATGTCGTAGAGCGTGATGTACGGCGAGTCGCGCTGCAGCGACGACAGCAGTGACGTGCGCGTGGGGCACCAACTGATCTGCATGTGATTCCTGGACGACTGAATCTGTCTCAAGGGTCGCTCGATGGCGCGCAGATCCCACAGCATGATCACGGAGTCCACATAGCTGCACAGATAGTTGCCATTGGGCGCCACGGACAGGCCCTGCACTGTCTTCGTCTGTATGGACTGGCAGGTGGTGTTGCTCTCTACAATGAGACGTAGAAGAAGAAGAATAGATATTAAATTGGCATCAACCATATAAATTTGCTTAAATTACGCCGCAAATCGAAGAGCTTGATCAGTTTCTGGCTCATTCCAGCGATGAGCATACGATGATTGTGGTCCCAGCATAACGAATTTGCCGCCTCGGCCAGGCCAAAGAAATTCGCAGTTTCCTTGGGCACGCCCCGTTCAATGTCCCAAATCGTGATGCAAGAATCGGAGCGATGTCGATCGTGGCCAATGGCCAATATATTTGCATCGAGTTCGTTCCAGGCAAGACACGTGCACATGCGCTGCTGTCGGGGTGCTGCAAAGAGATGACAAGAAAAAAATTCGAATTGATAAATGCTTTATGGGAGACGTAGACGCTATATCGCCATACTGTACTCCCAGCTGCTGTCGTAGGTGTCGCGGAAGTTGCAGATGCCGATTTTGCCATCGGCTAGGCCGACGGCAATGATCGGCTGGTCACTGTGATAGGAGGTGGCCACGCAGCGAGCGTACTGATAGCGCGTCTCGTTGGACAGAAAGTTGACCGGAATGTAGGGCAAGCGACTTTTCTGGGTTGTGTCCTCTTTGCTGCGAACTTCGTACAAATTGATTTCCTGGCCCCAGGAGACGAACTTGTCGGGGAAGTTGGGAAACCAACTGATGCCGTGTATGTTGCCGCTCATCTTTGAGCGATGTTTTGCATTTAGTGGCTCAATCTAATTGCGTCGCTTCTTATCAGTAACAAGACGGGAAAAAATAATAATAACCAAACAACAAAACAGCTGATAGTGCAGCTAGGAATGAGCGAATAAGCTAACAGCGCCGGCCCAGCTCAGCTGTTAACATGTGGAGCAAATCTGTTAAATGTGTGTGCAAATTTACTCTGACAACTACCATTTGTGTTTTTATGATTTAACGAATACAATAGGACTACCGTCCTAAGTTGGCTAAATAGGCCTCTTAACACCAAATTTGGTGATAAATTATATATATATATATATATATGGTTTGTGTGCTTCGTTTATTTGCTTAAATCATACAAAACGAACTGCAGATGGCGCTCGCGTGCCCAATTACAATTGAATAAATCCGAGCTTTGGCGTATGTATGTATAGTTGGCTGCAGATGGCGCCAGCTTTCAAATTAAAACATGAAAATGAGCGAACATGAGACAATTCGCAATTGGCCCTAATATACATTACATATTGTATTTATGTATTATTTATTTTGCTCTCCGACCATTCGACCATTCGACCAATAATCTATTGTTCCACTCGAATGCACACATATGTAACGGATAGGCGTAAGCATAAGAACTCTAAAAGGTGCGCTCAGGTAACTACTCAAGTGAATCAACATAATTGTCATTAACTCGTATATATGTATGTAATTATTCACATATGCTCATATTGATATATACGCTGGGCGACTTGGCTGCCCAGAGTGAAGCGCTGGTAGTTTCAATCTTTGCTCTTTGCGGTGTTGCGGCATAGTTCGGTTATTTCATATGAAAATTCACATATTTGTTGTGGGA